ACATGTTTTAATTCAAAGAGTTATTTAAATACAAGTACTTTTACTTTTCCTGCAGTAAATTTATTCAACGGGCTGAAAGGATTTCACGTAGTCGCAAACAGTTCGAATCGTTTCCTCAACATTTATTTGAGTGGTTACAGTGTTTGTAGAGTTACTATTAGCATATAGTTGCCAACCGTCCTGTTTTCCCAGGACATGTCCTAGTTTTTGTAGTGTCCTGGGATGTCCTGGATAGTTTTAAGCAGCGTCCTGGATTTTAAAGTGCTAGGGTCAGGACCCTGGGTTTTTAAAGTCAAAACGCTAATGTCGAGTAGCCATTTCTCTCATAAATTCACAATGGTGAAAAGAAAGAAATCGATTACTGCCAACAACAGTAGCTGCAATCATCAAAACTATCTATAACATCGATATGAAGTGTGACGAATTATAAGTTTAAAGAATTTGTTACAAACTAGTTTTTGTTTTATATTTTAATAACTTGTCTTGAACTCATATCATTTTCTTCAGATACTTTTATTAAAAATTATGATAATTATCATTACTTGAATTTCATTTCACCTAATTTCACTACATATTAATGTAACTATTACAACTCTATTAAGCCCGAGTCAAATAGACAGCGAACCGACAACGTGGCGAAGTGTTTATATTTTATGTATGGTATCGTTAGAATCTAGTCACATATAAAAAGCGAGAACGAACCGATACTTGCATACATAATACATACATTTGCCGCGTTTTCGGTTCGGTTCGCAGTTACATGTATATGACAAGGCATTTACTGCGTCCTGTTTATAAACTGAATTATCCTGGTTTTTACAACTTCAAATCCTAGTTTTTTTAAGAAGAAAGTACAAAAAACTTTATAAAGTACAAAACAATAAAAAAATCACTTAGATTAATTATGGCGAAAGGTAAGTAATATTCTATAGTAACTTTTCTCCTTTTAGGAGCTTCTTTTGTCTTTCTCTCCTTTGCTTGTCTCTTACTGAAATTATTTATATGTTCTCAATAGTTAGGTATGTACTGGATGTAATAATTGCTATTATTGTTTGAAAATAGACTGAAATTGAATTAATGTAATAATTGCAAAACTGAATTGATGTAATAATTGCTATTATTGTTTGAAAATAGACTGCGGTTTAAAAAACGTTAAGCAGTAAATTATTAAATGTAACTTATTTTTACTGATTTTATCGCGTTTAATATTCAAAAACTGATATTCAATGATATACTGATATATTGAAAAATTAATATTCATAAACTTAAAGTAGCCGGGATAACTATGACAACGGGACGTCAAACACCTCATCCCCCCCCCCCCGTAACCATGGGTGCTCCCGAAAAGTCGGGAATTAAAAAGTTAAATTAAACGCCATAAAATCCGAAAAAATAAGTTTCATTTAATGTTTAGTCTTCGCGTAAATATAAGAAATCATTCAGTAAATTATTAAACAAAATCGAACATTCGGTAACGTTTATTTCAAGTTGAAATCTATATCACGTTTATTCTATTTCTTCAACAAAAATTTCAAGCAGTTGTAAGGGTCATTGGCTTCCCCCGTTAAAAGAATAGTTTTCTCCCGTTAAATGTTTACGTTACGCCGCGCTTGACAGGCGGATTGGCATCTTTGACACTACTTACTTTTCATCACCGTCACCGGTCCTGATATTTTACGTCTCATCGTATCATGTCTAAAAGTTACACCGCCATCTATCGAAAACCATTCAGATCTTTCCGGAATTTTCTATTAGTTATCTTTTAGTTTAAGGTGGAAGCGTCAGGGTAGCCCGCGAATTTCAAATTTTCTTACGTTTTTTGCAATTTGCAGGTCAGTGTCAGGTTGTATGTTTAACAAAATATGATTCGCGAGCGTAACGAGTATGTATTTACAGAATTATAATCATTATAATCATCAATATAACCGTCTATGTTCGTATAATTCCAATGTATGGCTATTTCCGGAAAAACTCATTCAAAGGAATTATACGAACTTAAGGGGTTGTATTGATGATTATAATGATTATAATTCTGTAAATACATACTCGCTCGCGAATCATATTTTGTTAAACTGAATATTTAACAAATTATGATTCGCGAGTCTGGGCCTGACCTGTAAATTCCAAAAAACGTAAGAAAATTTGAATTTCGCGGGCCACCCTGGAGCTTTCACCTTAACGGGATGTAATGGGATGATGAATTCAATTACGTCAAACGTTTGTCAAAATAATGTAAAAATGTACATTTTAATACATCATATTTCATAGGAACTGATTTGTGTTATGTGTAACAACTGATATGTATGACACTTTTTAACATGTAAAACGTCGAATCTACCACTTTATGTCGTTTAACCTGTGTATTTTTCATTTGATTCCACTCAAAATAACAATATTTTTCATAATTTTTATTATTTTATATAACTAAATACGAGTACAATAACGACCACGGTTATAAAAATATGTCGTCTCCTTCAAATTCGATAGTGTATATAGGTACCGACGATATTTCTTTTATTATTAAGAAATAAAAAATAATTATGTAATGATGCCGATTAAATTGAACTAAGATGTTTATCGATTATAGCGTATAAACTTTTTTTTATTCCTTTCTTTAACTTTACTATAATTAAATCTTGAACGTTCTGAGAGAAGCACGAAATTCATTACCATCGGATCATTACTTTAGTCTAGTATTCATTTGATACACGTTTATTGCTACATTATTGCTAAATTGTACAGTCGGCCATTATTCAGGGTAAAGGTTACATTAGTTCGAATTTCAAACAGATGTCTTTACTAATTATCTACGATTGGTAGTGGCTTCCCAATAATTAATACGACCATGAGATATAATCTTTTGACAAACATCAAAACATGTTGTTTGTTTGATGTCTATCAACACATCGCTTCCTCATTGGTCATGTGATTAATCATGTCTATCGTAATTAAATCCGTCCTACGACATCACACAGGTGTCGTATCTTCTTCGATATACGAATTGATTTATTAACCATCTCGAATATAGCAAACCTAAAATACCCCAATCGGGAACAGATGAACACCGTCATGGTACGACCTGTGTTTTTTTTATAGATTAAGGGTGACAGTCCACCTGATGCTAAGTGGTTGCTGTGGCCCATAAACATCTACATCTATCTTCGTTTGCGAATTAAAATGCAGATGCATTGTCACCCGTGAGGACTAAGATAGAATGCCTCTTTTCCAGTAAAAAGGGTCTCCGGTTCTCTACACTCACCATACAAAACACAGCAGTGTTAAGCTGCTATTTTACGCTGGTATTCTGTGAGAGCGTGGTCCTTCCCCGGTCGAGACGACCCATTCGTGCTACAACTATACTATTAATATAGCTGCAGCATGGCTCTACCTATAAGACGTATAAGACCACGTATAAGATTTTATGTGATAGAGTTCACTTTTTGCCTATTATATATATATATATAATATATATATATATATATATATATAACTACTAAGATGATAAATAAATCTTTAGGTATTTTATGTGTATTTATATTATTGTATTACTAGACCATTTCGGATGCATATCGTCCCGTAGTTGCTGTAAGAGGCAACAGCTGCAACAAACCAGCAGCAGTGTCCTTCCTTAATTGCTTAATTACAACTAAAAATAAAAATACTGCGTTTGCCAACCCGCCGGCCAAGCATGGCAACTATGGGGAATATCCCGCTATGAGTCAATCTATGGAGAAGGCTTTTGTTCTGCAGTGGACTTTCGATAAGCTGCAACGGTAACGGTTTGTGTTTACCAACAACCAGTTAGCCAGATGTGACGGTGTAAGAATGTCCACTACGGCATATCGTCTGGTAGCTGCCGTAAGAGGCGACAGCGGCAACAAACCAGAACTTCTTTCTAATAACGACTAAAAATAAAGATATTGCAATTGCCAACCCGCCAGCCAAGCATGGCAACTATGACAAATCTATGGGGGTGGCCTTAGGTCAGCAATGGACTTTCTATAGGTTGCAACGGTAACGGTAAATATTTAAAGCGGCTAGTTATACCGCCATCATTTAATAGGACCATACACATTTTAATAATAGTTAATTGATCTTTTATGCGTATTTATATTATTGTATTCCAGTCAACAATATTCTTGTTAAAATTGATTTTAATAATCTACACCTCGATTAATTATCCCTCGTAGCTCGTGTAATATGTTATATGATTTTATATAATAATATCAGTTTTATTACGTTAATTTGTCATACACGATGAATAGTTTTAATTATATCCATAATGGCCGATTTACACTTCGGCAAGTACAGTAGCGAGTTTAGTTGTAGTTGACAGTAAACGGTTAAGTGGGCAGTAGCGTTCAAAAAACATTTAACGTATTTTTGTGGCGAGTTCAGTTAAAAAGGTACCATTTTATATTTTGAGGGTCGAACGCGAACACGTTGTGTCCTGTCAACTTATGTACTGAACTAAAGTAACTCGTTCACATGAGCGACGAGTTTAGTTGCGGGTGGCGGGAGACGCGCGGGAGGGCAGCACTTCGAACTTGACTCCCCGAAAAATAGACCGGTTGGCTGTCCCGTTTAACTTGATTGTTAATTTACTACTTAACTCACACTTGTCATTCAAACGATATATTTTACTTTACTCGCCAGGTTTACAAGTTAACTCGCTACTGTACTTGTCGAAGTGTAAATCGGCCTTAACAGTTGTGACGCGCTTGCATTGCAATGGGACAACGCACAACTCACGGAAACTTAATCACTATCGGATCGAACGAAACAGAAACGCATAGAAAATGAACAAACAATTCATTTTTTGTTAGAAACCTTCGCGAGTACGTACATAAAAACTGACCATAGAAGATGACAAAACGAATAAAATGTTCATCAAAAATATCCATTTTTTATAATACATTAACAACCAATTTACATATCAATGTGCTCGGGACGAGTTTGACACGTGCCAAAAATTTTTGTAAAATTTGAGCCTTGCTCACCTTCACGATATTCGTAGAGACGAACGCGATGACCTCTTTTGGCTAATAATAACGCTTCGAGTGAACCGACCTGTAAAAAATTATTAGAAAAAAAAATAGTTTAAAAATAACATGGATCAAATACATGACAATAGCTCTAGTAACTACTAAAATCAATCCTTAGTTTCCACCTGATGTTAAGTTACTGGCTACTGCAGTCCATTGACGCGTTGCGTTGGTCAATGCGTTGTCATCTCTAAGGATTTTTTTTTCATAGGATAAGGTGACAAACGAGCACACCTGATGGTAAGCGGTTCCTGCGACCCATAGACATATACATTTATCCTTAATAAAGAATAAAAATGCAGATGCGTGAGGACTAAGATTGAATGCCTCTTTTCCAGTAAATAGGGTGTCCGGTTCTCTACACTCACCATACGAAACACAGCAGTACCAAGCTGCTATTTCACGCTGGTATTCTGCGAGAGCGTGGTCCTTCCCCGGTCGAGCCGGATTAAGATGGAGTACCTCACAGCGTGGAATAATACTGATTCTCTATACTCTTTACCCGCAACACAGCAGTACAAGCGGTGTCGCTGTTTGGTGAAAAGGTAAAAAGGTGGTTCCTACCTCTAGGCAGAAAAGGAGTCCTACCACCTTGATTGTAATCGACCAGACAATCATCAAATATACACTCGGTTAGTGGCTAGTGGAATGGCGGTGAAATAAAACGGACCGTAACTTTGACTTTGCTCTCCGTTGCCAGCTTGCTGGTCTAGATATCATTTCGGAGGTCTTACTAGGGGCGTAGCTACCGCCGTATCAGCCGTATCAATGATACGGGGCCCCCGGGTTACAGAGGCCCCGAACGTATGTAAGCAAAAATTCTGAGGACTTCTATGGGACAGGATGATGGTTTGAATTGTTTGGCTAGCTTAGTTCTTAGGAGTATTCATTGTAAGTAATAACTTATAATCAATATATAATTATTTCAATTCAATGCGGGAGTTTTTGTTCCTTTTGTGAAAAATCTTTATCCTTAATTTGGGCCCCCTGACAAATTTTGATACAGGGCCCCTCTAAGGCACGCTACTCCACTGGTTCTTACATATACTTACGACATGCAGTGAACTGTGAATCTATGTGCATCGAACTGTAAACGTTTGCTATTACTGTACGACACGTGTGGGACGTCATTTTGCGTTTTACCGAAATTAATTAGTGTTAACGACCCAAGAGACGTGGTGGTAAAATGGATTTTTTAAGCCGCCCCACACGAGAAAATACTTATTCCGTCGTCATATATCCGCAAACAGTCCATTAACTATTAACATATTAACAAAAATAGTTTTTTATAAATATACGTATGATGAGGCAAAAGGAAATGTTATACTTTCTCTACTTTCGGGTAAGTACCACTCCACTTTCTCGCATAATAATTGATTTTATGCCTCGCTTAAGAGTAAAATTCAATATCACTCGTTCCATGGGTTCCTTTATTCGTGATTATATACTCATATATTTCTATATTCACTGCATAGAAATTTAATAATTTGCTTTTCTGATAAAATAAATTAATATACATTACTTTAACTATGACTTTGTGTCGGTGAACGGCAGAGTCAGACACATCCTAGGCGTAAGTTTATCGGCCAAATTGTCAATATATGGGATAAATTAAGAGTACTCTTAACCGACGAGCATGTATGCGTAGGTATATGGATGTGATGGAGGCGAGTGAAGTGTGTCATGATCGTGCCAAGATCGTGGAAGTCCGTAGTCTCTGCCTAAACCTCTGGGTGTGAGGCGTGAGTGTTTATGTATGTATTTAACTGGTTATATATAATATTATATTTTACTTTTAATTTTCTTTGGTGAAAAGATGGACATAGAATGATGGTTTATTATTCGTTAGCCCAAAAGAAACTTAAATATACGCAGGTTTAGTAGTCTCCAAAAGACACTCAGTCGACAAAATATTTTATCAACGCTAATGACCTCTCTGTACAGAGTAATAGCACAGGTAATAATAGCGTTCTGTGCTACCGCCTAATATCTCTTGTAAACTAATGTATAATAAGCTAACGTTAAACCATATATGTTGCGTAATCAAGACATTTAAGTTTATACTTTTAAAAAATGAGGAACAAATCTAAAAATAAATAATTTAATTAAATTACGGAAATGAACTGAAATTACGGCCATTTAAACGTTAAGAACCGTACTTTTCAATGGTTTTATCTAGTGCACTGTCCTCTCAAAGATTAAAGATATATAAATGAACACATATCATGAGTAGATAAACGAATGATAGCCTGTATAGTTTCAAAAATATACAATTTTATAATAACTAACTTTAATTATTATAATATTAGATTAAATTTTATAGAAAATAAAATAGAGAGTAGAGTCTTTTGCTGCTGTAATAAATGATTGATGAATGAATAAAATATAATAAGCTTGTAGTCGTTGTTTAATTCTCACGATATATTTGTTTATTCCAGGTAAGGTTTCATGGCTATACTAGAAAACTGGAATCCTTTCAGTAGCACTGTAGTCAAATAATTAACAAATTCTATATTAACCAACCAAAATTACTCATATTACCTAATATGTTGATTTAAATAAATTTTATACCTAAAATCACAAAACCCATTTGATGCTTGGTCACGATTTGTGGATAGCAGATTTTTCAGTATTGGTTTTAGACTATGAAGATCATCTGCATTATAAATGGTAGAGATAAATTATTCCTGCAGTAACAGAGTAAATGAAAATAGGCCTACATCCAGAGAACAACGTTGTCCGCGTCCAAACAAGTAACCACTATGTAGTAATAATTATATCTATAAATGATTATAGCTTCAGCTTACATTTTTTTTAAAAAACGTTACCCCCACACTAGGATTTTCTCCTGTACCGTGGAGGCAATTTACAAACATAAATTGCACGAGGACAAACATCCAGACCCGGAACAATTATCTGTAGGCCATACAAATACTTGTTCCGTGCGGGATTCGAACCCACGACCCCCAGCGCAACAACTCATTGCTAAGCCACTGCGCCACGGAGCTGTCAGTTATAGAACTGACATGCATTAGAAGAATCCTTACAAAACTAACATATGTAACTAGGATCTAAGAAAGTCGTGCATTGCACAACAAAAGGAGAAAAGAAAGGGTTACGACCAAAAAAATTAATAGCTTAACCTTAGTAGAAGAATAAGAAAAATCTCTGAAAGTCTGTAATAGTGGCTCCAACTCGCCGTACCCTTCAGACAGGGACACATTTGGCGACAGAAATAGGTAAGAGGGGAGTACCTGCCCTGACTGGCTCCTAAGTAGAAAAGCAGTCGAGAAAACAGAAGGAAACACCCAGGTTTTATAGATAGATGTCGAAAATTTTCACCTTATAAAAATACTTTGAAGCCCTCATTCGAAATGAAATAGCTATATAAATTTTTAAATAAATAATTATAGATTAAAATAACCACATTGTATATTTTCATAATATTTAGTATATAATAATTATAGATTAAAATAACCACATTGTATATTTTCAAAATAACAATTAAATGAAACATACAGACAGCCACTTGAAGCTAGAATTATTAAAATAAATTTATGAAATTATTACATAACTTTTAAATTAGTGTTTCAATTTTAATTGCAGATTAAACACTAATTGCATTTCATTTCTCATTTTCATTTTTAATTAAAACTATGTATATTATATTTAAGCATATTTCATTTGATTTACTTTTATTTTCCAGAGTATTTATGTTTAACCTATTAACGTTTTTTTTTTTAATTTATATTTAAACTTTAAAAATAAATCACTACTTACCAAACCTCCACCAACTATAATTATGTCTAAGGGCTTTTTCTGATGCCCATTCTGTAGCGTAGTCATTTTAAATAAAGATTGAACGTTCTTCGTTAATGAATATACTGTACTTGTCGGTCTTGTGAATGCGGAGTCGTTAATGTGACCAGTATTGCTTATTATTACGCAACAATATCTTGAATATCTCGAGAGCGATGTTTAACGGAAGTCTACGAAAACACAACTAAACCAGTATACGCAGTCTGGACACCCTAGCCCCTAGCCAACTTCGTGCGCGTGTATATTCACATATGCGTATAACAATTTACCTATAGTAAGTGCATTAGATAAATATTTTACTTTCGGGAACCGGTTATATCGTAAAAGAACAATATACTTAATAATAATATAACCGCGAAAATGATATTTCATCTAACATGATATTTTATCTGTTTACTGTTCTTTCTTAGATTCTTAATAGGATTGAGTTTCATAATTGAAACTAACGAATAAATAACTACGTACATTATTTACTCTTTGTTATAAAAAACAAAATGGAGTGTTTCACATTCACTTTCTTAAACAAATCTGATGTTAATTTATTTTAGCTCTGGTTATCAGCCTGTATTTAAATTAATAAATTTATTTCGGCTTGTAAGTATTAAACATTTACCCGGGAAGTGATTTTGGTTCTGCGCCATTATAAATTCTCAAAATAATCTGTTTTTTTTTAATACACTCACTGGTATAGTTTTACAGTTGTTAAGTCCACTGATGAACGTAGGTCTTCCCCATAGTTTGCTTCATAGGTGGGATATTTGACAAAGTTGCAACGTTGTTTTTAGTTGTTATTACGAAGATACTGCTGCCCATCTCTCGATTTGCTTCCCTATGTCGCCTCTTACGATATTCACGGGACGATGTGGGATGGGTGGTGAGTTGGGATGATATTCTTACACCGCCATTTTATTTATACATAAAAGTAAAAACATAATATTGTTTCTTTTTATTTCTTGTATATTTCTAGCTAGGATAAATACTTACGATATACGTTTTTACAAAAAATAATTAATGATTTTTTATTATATTAAATCGCGACTTCGTCCGTGTGAAATTTATTACAAATGGTTTTCATGGGTTTTCATTTTTTGCGCGGAACCCCAATTTAAAAAATAAATAAAAGTAGCTTAAGTTACTCCTAATAACATCAGTTATCTGCTAGTCAAAATAAAGTAAAATCGGTCCATCCATCTCGGAGATTAGTCGGAACAAACAGACAGACGAAAATTAAAAAAAAATATATTGTTCAAAGTACCATATATATACTTTCATATACATTTAGTAAAAAGCTGCTATTTTGACATTACAAACAGACACTTGAATTTTATTTATTTGTTTAGAAGCACACGAACCCACAATCACCACCTGGTGGTAAGTACCTAGCTAATGTAGCCCATAGGCACTAGCTACATATTTGTCACTTCTAAGGAATAAGAAGAAATCCCTTATAACCTGTAGTAATACTCGCTTTCTTTTTCTTAAAACTGAAATACAGCAAAAGGTGCACGACCAGTTTGCAGAAATTGGTGAATGGGTAGTACTAAATAATAAAAGTCTTTCTTTCTTCTTTCGGGCTCCTAGTAGTAAATTTTACTTTTGGTCCGTTGGCGTAAGAAAAAGAGGAGATCTCCTACCGTACAAAGACAGCACAAAGCACGCTCAAGGCACCGAGTGGTCAATGGTCATACAGAGTTTGTTATAATGAAGAGTCCTCTGAAAATAATTATAGCGGGATTTAGTTGTTTCCGCTTGCCGCGTGAAGATAGCCCCGCCACAAGTTTATTAAATGTTTATCCAACAAATTAATGAAATATTGAGGACCAGTTACGAAGACTTTTCAATTAAGATTAAAATTAAATAATAATTAATTTCAAGTTTTCTAAGCTGTTTACTAATTCTAGTTGTTAGAATAATTATAAAACTGTCAGTTTAAGAGTAAATATATAAGCTATATAATAAATAAGTTCAGGAATGGCGCTGAACTGCGCAATGCAACACGGACCCCTAAAAACTGTTAATGGTGCACACTCATATGTCGCATTGTTCAAGAATGGCGCTGGACTGCGCAATGCAACACGGACCCCTAAAAACTGTTAATGATGCACACTCATATGTCACATTGTCATAAAGCTTAAGAAATAAGCCAAACAAAAGCGTATGAGCACTTGGCATATGTGCTTGCCACTATCCTACTTAGGGTTTCCACATTTTGTTTGAGCAAATATAGTACTTTTCCCAAAAAAGATGCAAAAAAGATGTACCTACTTTTGGGCAATTCAGGAAAAAAGGACTCATTTATTTTTTATCTTTAGATATATTTCCATATACATATATATATGATTTCTTATATATATATATATATATATTTATATATATGATTTCTTACCCTTAAAATAATTAGAGGAATCTGAGCAATTTAGATTAATATTTTAATAATACACTTTTAATTATATTAATACATCTCTATTAGCTCTATTTCTTTCTTCTTTCCATTTTACATTCCAGACTTCCAGTTAATATAAAAAAGCGAGACCGTATAATCAGAGCAGAGGATGGGCAGCAGCATGAAGTAGAGGTTTACCTCTGCGTTTCGCTTGGTGAGTGCAGGTGGCCGGAGGCCCTTTTTACTGGAAATGAGGCATTCCATCTTAGTCCTCACGGGTGACAACGCATCTACATTTTGATTTGTAACAGAGGATAGATGTAGATGTCCATGGGCCGCAGCAACCACTTACCATCAGGTGGACTGTGTGCTTGTTTATCATATATAAAAAAAAACATATATATAAAAGCATCTTTCTGATAACAGCAAAACAACAATAAAAAACTGCGGTTGCTAACCCGCTCACCAAGAGTGGCAACTATGGCAATATACCCGCCCTGATAGGAACGAAGAGACGGCCCCCAGGCCCCGGCGGCCCCGCTATTCATGGCTACGGTAGCGACCATGGTAACGGCGGGGCAGGGGGTGCTAAGAATCTCCGGTGGAGGTTCGGTTGCCACCTACGTCGACTCGACCTGGCAACTTAACATATAACGCACGCACCCTGAGGACTGACGAGAAGATCCTGAAGCTGGAAGAAAAGATAGATAAGTTGCGCTGTAATATCATAGCATTATCCGAGGTCCGAAGAGAGGGGGAGGACACGGTAATCCTCGAATCCGGCACTTGTTCTATCACCGGGAGGGCGACCATCTGTCCCAAAGAGTTGTCGGATTTATCGTTCACAAGTCTCTCGTTAACAACGTTGTAAAGATTGGGAGTGTATCGACGAGGGTTACGTACCTTATACTCAGAATCACCAAACGGTATTCGCTGAAGGTCATACAGGTTTACGCACCAAACTCGGCACACCCCGATGAGGAGGTGGAGGAAATGTATGAGCATATCTCTAGAGCCATGCATTCCTCCAAAACCCGCTATACGGTGTTAATGGGAGACTTCAACGCAAAACTAGGCACAAGGGAGAACGGTAAACTGAAAGTAGGGAAATTCGGAATAGGGCAACGGAACCCAAGGGGCCAGCAGCTGGCCGACTTCATGGAGAAAGAGGGACTATTTATGATGAACTCTTTCTTCCAGAAGCGGCCCCACAAGAAGTAGAACTAGTTGAGACCCGACGATTCGACAAAAAATGATATTGACTTCATTATGACGACCAGACGACAACTGTTCAGTGATGTCTCAGTGATCGCGAGGGTGAAAGCCGGCAGCGATCACCGAATGGTGAGAAGCACACTGAACCTAAACGTTAAGTTGGAGATAATGAAGTCGCCTAATGAAGTTAACGCTCCGTCCCCCTCGTGCTCTAGTACAAAGTCCCGAAACCTTTCAACTCGAGCTATGGAACCGTTTTCGGTGCCTAGAAGATTGCAATGCAGTGGACGATATGAATGACAAGCTCGTGGAAACTGCCTATGTGGTCGGAGCTATGTTTTGTAAGACCCGTCGCAGAAGAACACAAAAACTCTTCGATCACACTCTTAATCTCATGGCTGTTAGACGAGATATGAAGCTGCGGTCTTCAGTAAATTTGACAGCATACAGGCAACTGAACAGACAGATCTCCAAATGCATGTGGCGAGACTTACGCAACTTTAATACTGCTCGTATTGAAGAAGCGATCGAGCGGAACCAGGGCTCCAAAATTTTTGCTAGAGATCTGTCTGCCAGAAAGAGCCAACTGTCGAAGCTGAAGACCGGGTGTGGCATCGTTTCCGGGACACCTGAAATTTTGAGTGAGATTGAGAGGTTCTATGGGCAACTATACACAACATCGGTGGAGCTACACGCAAGTGTGAGTAACGATTCAAGAGCGAGTCTTATCCGACACTATTCCGATAATATCTCGGACGTCAGTCTGAGCGAGATTAGAATGGCTCTCTAGCACCTTAAAAACGGCAAGGCCCCAGGCGAGGATTAAATTACAGCGGAGCTTCTGAAAGCGGGTGGAAAACCGGTACTTGAAGTCCTTCAAAAGCTCTTTAATTCCGTCCTCCATGGTGGCATTACACCGGAGGCGTGGAGCAGAAGTGTGATGGCCTTGTTCTTCAAGAAAAGTGACAACACTCTCCTGAAGAACTACAGACCGATTTCCCTTCTGAGCCGCGTCTACGTGCTGTTTTCGAGAGTCATTACGAATCGTCTCGCGCGCATACTTGACGACTTCCAGTCTCCCGAACAAGCCGGTTTCTGAAAAGGCTTTAGCACCATAGACCACATATATACCCTTCGGCAAATTGTACAGAAGTCCGAGGAGTACAATTTGCCACTATGTCTGGCGTATGTGGACTATGAGAAAGCCTTTGATTCCGTCGAAATTTGCAGACTTTTTTTCTGCAGACCCTTCAACGGTGCAAAGTTGATTGTCGGTATATCGAAATGCTGAAGTACTTGTACCGTAGGGCTACGATGGCTATCCGAGTACAGAACCAGAGTACGAAACCTACCCAATTGCAGTCGTTATATCCCCGAAACTCTTCACCGTTTTCACGTTTTCAAGGTTCTGGACTGGAAAGTAAGTAAT